TGTTTGAAAAGAAAAACAAATTGCAAAAAGGTACATCAAAATGGTAAAAAACTCTAAAAATTCACCAAAATTGTGAACGCCAAAAAACAACTTTTCTGAGTTCATGAATATTAAAGAGACTAACCCAAAGAGATGCTTTAAGCACAGGAGAGTCCAATTGACTGAGAGCATGAAAAAGAGACACGATGACTTAAAGTAGTTTGATATCATATAGCTCAATGCCAACTTAGCCACCTGAGCTTACATTGTGTACACAAGAATTGAACACAAATTCCAGGACATGCAGTTGGTCTTTTATGTTTCCATTCGGAAATAAATAGTTGGGATGATAAGAGGATTGGCTATTTGAGACAGCATTTTTAAATTTGGTTGAGGTTATTCATGATCGATCATTACTTGAATAAGAAGGTTTAGCGTGCTGACCACCCCACCACTTGTGCTTGCATTGCATACATAGGAACAGAACACAATTTCCTTGACATTTAGTTGGGATTCTACATTTACAATTGGTGATAAGTTATGGGTTGATTTAAAGTTAATCAATCTTATGATTTGCATCCACTAATAAGACCAGTAAATATGTTTCACTATTCTTAAAAACAAATTATAGAGGTTGATATAAATTGTAGAGGAGCAGAAGAAAATTTGTTACAAGTTATTGGAGAAAACATCTTCAAAGAAGTCCTTTCAATTCTTTGAGATGACATTCCAAAAGAGTTGGACTAAGGGTGTCAATTTCGGGTCACATGTCGGGTTCGGGTCGAACCCGAATTGACACGGCACTATTCGGGTCAACTCAAACCCGACCCATTTTTGTAAACAGGTTAATTCGGACCCGAACCCGAAGGCAAACGGGTTGATTTTTCAGACCCGAACCCCACCTGCTTTGGGTTCGAGTCAACCCGACCCAACCCGCGGACACGACAACACCGAGTTCCGAACGACCGCAACAAAGAAGGCAAGCTCATGGCGTGACTTTCTTGAGTAGTTCCGACTTCCGGTGTGACTTCCCGACGACCTCCCGGCAGCGGATGACAATGGGCCAATGATGCGGCCAAATATGACGAGACGAGCTAGCTCGCCATTTCGGATGGCAAGCGAACGTCAGGACATGACTAGTGAGTAGTGACTACCCTTTACGTTTTGAGTCTTTTGAAATGGCAACAAACAGAGGAAAATTTTTTATTTGGGGAAAGAGGCAGTAATAACATGATCAAATTTAATAGAGAATCACATTTTTAATCTTTTATCTGACATGTGGATCAGTGGATATGACATTATGACTACTAAATATTTTTAAGTGTGGAAACTGTGGACGTAGGCAGGGTCATTAAACTTTTTTAATTTTTTATCTAACGGGACTAGATGGAGTAATATTTCAGGTCAAAATAGGTCGATTTCGGGTTTTCAGGTAAACCGGAACCCGACCCGATTTTATAAACAGGTCGATAACTCAAACCTGAACCTCACCCGTATAATAAACGAGTTGACCTGAACCCGGAATTTTTCGGGTTGGGTCAGTTTTTGACACCTCTAAGTTGGACCATTAAACTGTGAAACCTCTTATAAAAATAAACTTAAACTTTTAAACATAAAGGAACCGTTTAGAAACTCCAAAGTTAAGCGTGCTCATATCGAAGCACTCCTAGAATAGATGACATCCTAGAAAATTACATCAAATGGACAAAACCGTAAGGCTATTAGGCCAAAGAGAACAATATCTCTAATTTCCCAAGTTATGTTATGAGTAATGATCTAATTCTTTGAGTATTACCAATACCAATTTAAAAATGTCTGTCAATGAGGAGTAAGTATGAACAAATACATTGTTGTGCTGTAAAGTAATCAAAATAGAAAGATATTTTAGTACCTTCTATTATAAGAAGCGCAATATAAATGTAAATTTTACAAAAATGCTTCATACTTATAGCATACTTCATGTTAGTTGGATATCTCGTGCTAAAGCGACTTCATCTTTGTTTTATAATTGTTTTTCAGCTTGCGCAAATTGAAACTCTTACAATTTTTATGCCTTGGCAAATTCTTCAACTATTCCATGAAGATATGAACAATCTTCTGTGCCATGATCTAACCTTACGGAAAGCACAATATCTTATCAGATTCGGAGTATGTGGTTAGGATCATGGAGACGGCTAACAAAAATATGTTTTATCTTTAATTGTGTTCACTAACTTGATCTAAGATACTCAAAAAGAGGTATGAGCAACATTTCTAGCAATTATGATCAAATTATTCCTTAGTGGCAGATTCTCCTGTGAGCTCCTACATTCAATTCACAACTCAAAATAATGGTGTAATGGTTGATTATGGAAAGTATCATGACAAGTCCTAAATTTAGCTGAATTGAAGTCACCTTAGTCTCTAATCAATTGATGTCGTGTCGTCACAAATTCTAATATTCAAAATGTTAAGGCTTTGAAACTTCCTCATGATTATTTTCTTCTACATTTATGTGATTATTGATCAGTTCTAATATTTTTGCTAATGTCTTGCTTCAATCCAAGTGCATACTCGAATGGTCTTTTTATAAGTCCTTAGGTTACCAGAGTAAGGGTGACTATAGGTTCTAATTCTTTGATGTTTAGCATCACATGCCAGAAGTGAGTAATAAAATTTTCATAGCGACTCTTTGGGTTCTTATCTGATCTTCAAGAGGGCTTGCAAGTTCTTTAATGACTTTTGGACACTTGGAAATTGGGTGATGAACATCATTTTGAATTTAATGAAAGATGTTATTATTCCTAGTGAAAGCATAAGAAACACGTAAGAGATAATTATTGAAAATGGTGAGAAATAATAATCACTTCAAAATGCCATTGATGTTTAACAGTGAGGTAGCTAACTTGAAATAAACCACATAGTCGACAAGATCTGCCTTTCCATCGTGGGAGTTGAGGCGGGGGAGTTTGACCTTCACTGAAAGCTTTGTCTCCAATATCTCCTTTTAAAACTCCTTCATTAGCTATGGTTACCTCTTTTGATTCACCATGGACGGAAGTGGATTCTTCGTTGTTGTCTATATAGTAAGTTTCTTGTTGGGGTCGAAATTAATGTTCTTTCTCTTGAGAGTCATTTTGAGTGATTGAATATGAGTATCCTTCTAGCATCACCACCCTTCCCTTGGAGCAGCTATGAGAAAATGCACCAAATCTCCTTAGATCATTCTAGTGATTCTCTATTCCATCTCTATCAGTTGCTTGTTCCTCACAAAATCATGGTTCTCCATGTCACAAATCCCTTTTTTATAACTCTACTTTTTGAAGTGCTTAATTTTTAGTTCCTGACATCAATCCACGTTCACCACATTTTTGAAGAAGTTGGAACCAATTTTCTCCATGGGCAATGCCAAGATCTTACTAGCAAGATTCACAAGGTAAGACCAGAACAAAGGAAGAGAGAGGAAGTTAGAATCTTGAAAGAAGTTTTGGAATTTTAATAGATGTACAAGAATACACAAGTTGAGTGCCCAGATCTTCGGTCCTCCATTTAACTTCCTATTATAGGTCCAGGCTAGGGTTTGGGCACTACAAGAAAAATGATAAAAACAACAATCGAATATGAGACATTTAGCCTATAATACATGGCAGTACACAAAAAATTGATTGAATCAATTACTAGGTGATGTCACAAATTCATCGGATGAAGTTGCTGACTTGTTCGAATGGACTGCAATCGAGTAGTTTTTTTAACTTAGGCAAGTAGCTTCTGTGTTTTGCTATAATGCACCGACACACCTCTTGAAGAGAGAATGCAGTGTCGGTCACGTGTCAGACACGGACACGTGCCCGACACGGCTGGGACACGTGTCGGACACGGCATACACGTGTCCGATTAAAATAATGTTTAAATTTAACCCGACACGGCTGGGACACGTTTCAGACACGGCTGGGACACGTTTCGAACACGGCTGGGACACGTGTGACCTAATTTTTTTATGAAAAAACTATTTTAATTGTAAATATATGATATCCAATGAACTATTATGAGAGAGAACTAGAGAATTAGAGAAGTATAGAAGTAAATAAATGCATTCTTTGTGATTTAGATTAGAGGATAAAGAAATATTATGGGAGAGAACTAGCGAACAAGAGAAGTAAAAAGATATAAAGAAGAACCAACTTTCATTATATGATATCCAATGAAATATTGCAAATATTTCTCCTGTTGAACCAGAGTTGAAAGTAGTGATATTCAATGATGATGATATTGAAGGCAAAAAACAAACATCTAAAGCTAATCCTAGTAGTTGAAGCTTGAATGCTTGATGTTGTAGTAAGTGATTATTTGCTTATAGTTTTGTGGTTGTACTAGACATTTTGTACTAAATATTTTATATTATAAGCTAGACAAGTTATCATGTCATTTATTTATTGTTTGTCATTTTTAATATAATGTTACATTAATATCTATACACTATACAAAAAAATGTAATGTCGTGTCCGGGCCGTACCCGTGTCCTATATTTTCAAAAAAAATTGTGTCCCGTGTCCGTGTCGTGTCGTGTCCGATTCTCCGTGTCCGTGCATCATAGGTGTTTTGAAAAAATAAGCCTAGCTAAGCCTTGGGTTGAGTAAGCTCTGAAAAAGTTCTTTATGAGCCTAGTAAGTACAACATAAGCCTCTCAAGTTCACCAGATATCTTGGGAGTTCACCCATTCAAACTAAATAAAAACTTGCAACTTTATTTTTGTCACAATCAATAAAAGTTAAAACTCTACTTTCATGAAAGTCAAGCACCAAAATCCCAATAGAAAGTGCTCAATAGGGTGGCTAAAACACATAATGGTTTTAAAATTGAGGCACCAGTAGTTTTTCACAAATAATGATATGTAAGCAATTGAAATCCACTTTCTTCATCAGAACAAGGGAACATAAATAGACTAAGAACATAAGTTTTTACTCATAACCTGGTATGAAACTTAGTACAAGACTACGAAAAGAACTTATATATATGGAACAAAGAAATCCCAGCATACTAACCTTTCACTCTCTGATCATAGGAAGATTTATCTCGCATCATTAAAGCTGCAGCCTCTCCATTCAATGGATCAGAAGGATTTGGATACAAGAGAAGCTGTGGAAGAAAAACTTCAAATACATTCACAAGATCTGCAGAGGGCAAAAGAAAATTTTAGGACATGCTAACTAGAAGAAGATTCTAGTTTTGTACACAGTTATACACCAGCCAATTCATCTTCAACATGAAAATCAGTAGTAAGCTCATTTACCAAACATGGGGCTCCAAGTCTGGTTAATGACATCCAAACAAACAGATCCTGAACTGTTACATTAAAAATTCTATAAGAAGCTCCAAAAATAACTTTAACCAAATTAACTAAGTGTAATTGCTGGACAGAAATAGCAAAAAAAAGCAATCAAAGACTTACATCTCATCCACATTTGGATGGTATATCTTATTCACAAAACCAATTGATGGGGATTTATAGGGATAAGCATCAGGTAGCCCAACCTTGATTCTCCACACTCCTCCTTGGTAAAGACCTGTTGACATTTGTGAACCAAAAGAAATTATACTTCAAATTGAAAATGTACGCAGATAGCAAAAAAACACCCACAAAATGTTGTGTCCATATTATCCAGGAACTCCAACACTTCCAAGAAAATAAGAACTGCAGAAGAGAGATAAACAGAAAAGGCGCCTTCAAAAGTTAATTGCTAGAAAACAAATAAAAAGAGTATCCAAGAGGTAGAAAACGGGCAACTGATAACTAAGTTGAGATGCAGCAAATGAGAATTTTGAGATGGGCGTGTAGCAAAATAAGAAAGAATAAATTAATAAATGATCATACATACCACTTTATTTCATCTTATTTACATATCTAACACCTAAAACATTAATATTATATGCCTACCATCCATAGAATAAATTTGGGTGCATGGAATAAAATATTAAAATTTATAGGATGGTATGAATGGTAGAAATGAATTATAGGAGTGATATATTTGATATTAAAGTTGTATATGTGTGGTAGACATGTAATATTAATGTTTTGAGTGTTAGATATGTAAATAGCATGAAATAAAGTGATATGTATGTAAATTTTCCATGATTAAAAACTAGTGGAAGAGTATTAGAAAGGTGTACATCTAAGCTAAAATGAATAGAGGTTGCTTAAAATGATTTGTGAGAATAGCATGAAGCAATGGAAAGTGAGCATTCATAAAACGGACCCCAAATAGTTGGGATAACACTAATGTGTTGATGATCCAAGAGGTAGAAACTCCTATAACCCTATTGCATCAACGATAAAAGGAAACATCTTTGAGTAGAAGGTCATCTTTGCTGCCCTTTTTTCCCATGAACAGCTCCGAGGGAACATGTCAAAGCCATGGGCGATCAAGAAAAAATGTATAAAAGATTATGAAATTTCAAAAAAAAAATATTTAAATGCCCTCATCTGGCTAGCTCAAAAAAAAAAAAAAATGTAACAAGACCAGTCGTCACAAACAATACAAAAGAACTATTTAGCCTAATCTTAGCTAAAATAGAGAAATGAGTACGGGGAATTTACTATCTTTAGGTCCATGGAAATCCACAAAGAACTCCTGCATCCCATCGTTAACCATCTCAACCCTATAATCACTCATCATCCTAGTATAATCAAATTAACAAAGAAAATAAGTAACAAAATTAAATATTTCCAACAGAACTGGTGAGCAGAAGTCTCAGAATATCACAGTTTCATCAAATCCATTTCTCGGCGCTTGCTTGGAGAGGACATGGCCGTTCTTCTCGGTTTCTCCTTGACCTGTTCTCAGGGTTGCAACTCAGAAGAAAGGAGCTGAAGGAGAATATAGATGGATTCTCGCAGAATTAGACGAGAGTAAAAATATTTGCTCCCGATGGGAACGGAGCTGATAATGAGTGACGGCGGCAGCGGTAAAAGCTAGACTATAAAAATTAATAACTAATAGTTTTGTTTGGGCAGCTGAATGGAAGACGGCAGAACAAAAAATAAAGGACAAAATTTGACAATCTATGCGTGATCGATCAAATGCTTTTATTATTTTTTATTTTTTTCTTAAGAAAATGTGTTATTCTAGTAAAGGATATTCTATTTTATTTTAAGGTGTATTTATAAATTATTTATCAAAATTAAAGTCATTCAAAGTTTATTTGAAGTAAAAAGTCATTCTAATTGCTAGTGCAAACATGAAAATAATAAATATAATAAAATTTTAAAATTTTTTATGGTTTTAGAAATATACATTTTTTAATAATTTAAAATGATATAAAGATGGATTTTTCAAAGTGTTGACTTTTCATATGATCTAAATATAGAAGATGACATATCCTAGACTACTTGTATCTTTAGCACGATCATATGAGATATAATAAATTGATTATAATTATCTGATAAGAACACTCACGTATAATGATGAACAATATATCATAATCATTAGTCATACTAATGCCTAGGGTTAAACTCGCTAGCTAGTTTATATGATAACTCATAACTCTCAATGTAAATACATCATAATGCTTGAGTGAAGAGGGAACCCCACTAATCGTTCAAATTAGACATAAATCTAAGCAAGGGCATAGATGATTAAGAAGAATATTTTAAGTATTTTGAGGTATCCAAACTCTTAAACAAGCAAAGAGACTAGATAAGGATGTCTTTTTCCAACAAAGAGGTTCCAACTATGAAAAAAAACCACTATAAATGGATATGATCCTTATAAACATCATTAACAAGAATAAAAAAATTTCTATCATTATGATTTTATAAAGAATGTCAGTTATGATCCATATAAATATTATCTGCACAAACGAGAAATGTCTCCTAGTGGATTTGGTTTAATAAGGGAATGGGCATTGCTTAAGTAGACATTGCTTACAAAAATAGGGGTCCATTAGGGGGCATTTTCCTTACTAGACATTGTCTACAAAGATGAAGAAGAATTTTTAGTGGATAGAGATACACCAAGCACTTATAAAGATGAACATCTAGTTAAGATGATTGATCTAACCTTAGAAGGGCTTTCTCTTGTTGTAGTAGGGTACTGAGGATGTAGGGACACACTTGAGTGGTTGAAATAATTTTATTTGAGGTGATGGTTGAAAAGAAGGGGTCAAATAAGTGGTCAGACCATGGAGAACCAAAGGGCTTTCTTTTGGGACATGGATCTAGGATTTCTTATGATAGATGATTCAAGATATATAACCACATAATAATATTACGATAATTTTATTAGATTTGAGCAAGAGGGTTTTGGTGAAATCCCAAATGGTTTAGAGGCAAAATGAAGGAGGGAAATTAAGATTATGTTAAGGTGATATTATTTGGATAGATTTGACTAGTCATGTAATATTGTGTCGTTGGAGGGCTTAAGGGTTTCTTGTGGGATAGTAAATGATATACAATGTTAGATGAATTTGTAAAGGTAGATATGGAGTAGATGTTGGAGATCTAAGGTGCTTTAGGGGTGATTGAGGAAGAAGAACTAAAATTATTTCAATAGGATTAATAGTTTGGTTGACAACTTCAAAAGAATAATTTTTTTTAGGTCTATAGCTTTTCAAGAAATATTGTACGATGATACAAGGAAGATGGGTGAAGATATTATGAGAGATTGGGAGAGAGATAAGCAAGTAAAAGAAGAATACGTATGTCTTCCACCAAGAAGAACCCAAAGAGGAGGAGGACATCCACCAAACTATAAATTAAAAATATCAAAATTTAGAACCTAATTATGCATTTTATAATTTTTAAATATAGAACATTATTTTAGGAAAATAAAACATTTTTTTCACTAAATTGAGAATTAATATGAACATGCTACGAATTTATAAGCTCTTAGAATTTTAAAACCCTAATTTTCCTAATTATTAATTCAATAGTGTTGATTAGATTAGGCCCCTACATGTGGAGCCATAGAATTAGGCTACATGGTTATATCCTATGAGTATTGGACATGATCCTTACATAAACGAGGGTGGACAGCAACATGGTAGATCTAATTATAATTGCTTTATCTTAAAATCAAGATCTAATTTCATCTAATAAAATAACTTGGAATTTCATAAAAATGAATTTGTTTGAAAAATATGAAAATTTGTATTGCAGCGCTATGACGTTATACTTGCAAGCGTAGTGGCGCCAAGAAAGCATCGTCGTGGCGTTGAAGTCTCTATTCTATAGTAACTTTGGAGTCAACATGCAATGCAACAGTGTTGTAGTTTGGGATACCATGGCAATGGGAACTGAATAATATTTTTAATATATTTTATATAAATATCCCTCACCACCTAAGTGACTTTACTTCACTTTGTTACCTTTCTAGGGAAGAAAAGAAAAAAAAAGGAGAAGGAGAAGAGAAGGGAGAGAGGAGAGGAGTGAGATAAGAGAGAAAATCTTTTGAGGTTTTTTTTGTTTGTCGCTATTATTACAAAAATTATTTTTATCATGGTAAGTGATATATACTCAACATCTTTTTTCAATGACTTTAAGTTTAATATATTTCTGCTTGTGTGCTATGAAAAGGGAGTTATAAGGGGTCAGGATCCTGTGAGATCCTGTCTGTGTCAGGGAAAAAAAATCTGAAATGAGCTCTGAAATCTGAAAATAAATCTGTTCCGGATCTGATGATAAGTTCTATTCTGGTGCTATAAGCACATCTGTTCTGCTGCTATGAGCACAAAGGGAGGCATAAGGGGCCAGAATTCGAGAGATTCTGTCAGTGTCTGGGAAGGGAGGCATAAGGGGCTAGAATCCGTTGAGATTCTGTCAGTGTCAGGGAATCTATTCATACTTTTGATATATTCTAAATTGATATGATTTCTGATTTCCGTACGATATAATTTGATCTGATCTGTACGATTCTGTTCTGATTTGATCTGATCTGTATGATTCTGTTCTGATTATGATTTCTGTTTTGTTCTGATTTGATATACGATTCTGTTGATCTGATTTCTGTACGGAATTTATCTGATGTGTTTGATGTGGATTCTGAGGATTTTGATTGAAGGTTTGATGTCTTGCTGAGCTGTGTAGCTCATCCTTATTTTCTGTGTGGTTTTCAGGTTCTGGGAAAGGGAAGGAAGTCTTGGACTAGGAGTTCAGAGTCCGATCCGTTATAGGTATTTTGTACTTTTGATTTTTGTACAGTCATGACTTTTCTGTTCTGCTTTTCTTTATGTCTGAAAGCCATGAGCTGTATTTGTATATGATTCTTTTGAGGAAGAAAAAAAAAGATAGATGATTTGTTTCGCTGCATTTGATGTTCATAGTAGCTCTGTGTGTCTGTGCGTCTGTTTCTGTCTGTATGTTTGGAAGAAAGTTCTGAAACAAATTCCAAAGCCAGATCCTGGAATCAGCTCAGTCAGTCTGAAGTTCCGGCATCACGACCCGATGCGAGCGAGATCCGTCCCGGTCGGGTTGGGTCGTGACAACATAAAGGAGGGTGGACAGCAACATGGTAGATCTAATTATAATTGCTTTATCTTAAAATCAAGATCTAATTTCAACTAATAAAATAACTTGGAATTTCAAAAAAATGAATTTGTTTGAAAAATATGAAAATTTGTATTGCAGCGCTACGACGTTATACTTGCAAGCGTAGGGCGCCAAGAAAGAAAAAATATCCCTCACCACCTGAGTGACTTTGCTTCACTTTGTTACCTTTCTAGGGAAGAAAAGAAAAAAAAAAGAAGGAGAAGAGAAGGGAGAGAGGAGAGGAGTGAGATAAGAGAGAAGATCTTTTGAGGTTTTTTTTGTTTGTCGCTTTTATTACAAAATTATTTTTATCATGGTAAGTGATATATACTCAACATCTTTTTTCAATGACTTTATGTTTAATATATTTCTCTCTCCTAACATTGGTAAAAATATAATATCTCTCATTTTAATGAACTTTCACCATTTAACTTTTGGTGTATGATAAATATCATTATTTTGAATGTTTTGATTGGATTATATTAAATTTTCACTAGGTGGTTTGGATTATATGACATTTTAATTGAAATGAGTAGGGAAATATTGAGTGAAAAATGATCACGTGTTAATGTACTATATATGAATATAAAATGCATGGCATGCATATAATTACTTTTCATTTAGCATAACATGCATTTTGGCATAATACATGCATATTGATGAGCATAGTAGATAAATCTACATAATATGGTCATTGCACATGAAGTATACATGATGTTTGTTATTATTATATACATAATATGAAATTAGTGTAAGAATAAGCAAATGAATGAATTGATGTGCTATATAAATGGAGGGGAATGGTACTGACATGATTAAGAAGAATGATAAGTGATAAGACTTATGAGTGAAAATTGATGACTAACGGCTGATAAGGCATATGATAAATATGACAGATAATAGATATGATTGATGATATATGACAGATAAGATAGATGATAGATATGATTGATGATTGATGATAGATAATATAAATGATAGATTATAGAAATGATTGATGATGGATGATAAATAAGAAAGACGATAGATGATAGATATACTAGAGGATTGATAAGTTCAATAGATGATAAATGGGATAGATGATAAATATGATTGATGATAAATAAGAATGTTGATAAAGGAGATAATGATTGATGGCTAATGAGATTAATAACACATGATATATAATATATAATGATTGATTGACTGATTATATTAATTGATTGATGATAACACTATTCATATGATTATGATTTCATATATATTATTTCTATTTTATGCATTATTTTCAGTTATATATGTTTGTTACTTACTAAGCTATATACTAACTATATAATTTGTATTTATTTTAAGGTAAGGGTAAGAAATATGTGATGTGTTGTTTTAATAATGGATTATTTTGGTTGCATCATAATTATTGTATATATTATTTTGGTACTCTAGATCAACGTATAAATTTTGAATGAATAAAAATGTAATTGTATTTTTTTTATTGTTATATATTTTGTGTGCAAATATTTAGTAAGCTCT